ACATATCGAAAAATAGCGAAATACTTACGTTAACGTTAACTTTCGAAGGTTTTCACTAGAAAAAATTTCCTGATGTGCTACATTACTGAACCATAATTTATTATAATATTTGTTAATTACCCTTATTATTGATCTATTTTCTAAGATTGCCTTACCATATATAATAATATTGTATTCTTCAATATCATCAACTTTCAAAATATCTTTCAAAAAAAAAATTAAAATATTTCAAAAATCTCACAAAATCTTTAATTATATTGTCATTAATATTTAAATTATTCGCTTTTTTACAAAAATATATATCTGCTTCTGTTAGTTTCATTTCAAAAAATTTTTTTGATAAATTTAACACTTTTATTAACTTCGTTTTTATTTTTTTTTTTTCAATTATTCTTATCATATCTTGCCGTTTCAACTTAAAATCGAAAAGTTATGAATTAATTAAGTTTATTTATATTATTTAAGATTAATAAACACTGGTCAAAATCTGATATATTGGGTACCTATCAGTAGGGATAGGAATCGTGATTACGGACTCATGATTAATCGTGAGTCAATTATATATTCGAGTTGAATTTTTGGCGAACGATTAATCACGATTTTTATAATCGTTGAAAATCACTGATTAAATCGCGATTTTATAATCGCTGATTAAATCACGATTTTCTAAACGATTTTCATAATCGTTTATATTAATTTGATTATCAATGATAATCAAATTAATATATATAATTTTAAAAAAAAATTTTTCTTTTATCAAACCATGAGTGATAACGAACTATACGTATATATAAAACCTTTAGGAAAGGTTTCTGCTATCGAAACGGTTGAAAAAAAATGTCACTACAAAAAAAAAAAGAGGAAGAAGAGGTAGAAAGAAAAAATTATAAAGTATATAGAAAAAGAGAAGGAGAAGTGATAAGAAAAAAAAGTGTTAAAGGAGGGAAGCTAAGGGATGAGAGGGATGAGAGGGATGAGAGGGATGAGAGGGACGAGAGGGACGAGAGGGACGAGAGGAACGAGAGGAACGAGGTGGAAGAGAGGGACGAGGTGGAAGAGAGGGACGAGGTGGAAGAAAATAGAGAAAATGTCAATTCTGAAATTGTCGAAATTGCCGATGCTGAAATTACTGAAATTACCGTTGAGGAAAGGGAAAGGGAGAAGCGAGAAAGGAGAGAAATGAAAGAACAGGAAGAAATATTAGAAAGGGGAAAGAAAAAAAAGGAAAGGGAAAACTCTGAAATCGCCAATATTGAAATCGTTGAAATCGCTGTTGCTGAAATCGCTGTCACCACTGTCACCGCTGTCACCGTCGCCAAAAAAGAAAGGGAGAAATGAAATAAGAGAGAAACAAAAGAGGACAAAAGAATAACAAGGAAGAAACAGGGAGAAAAGGAAAGGAAAGAGGAAAGAGAAGAGAGAATGTATGAGGAAATAGATGAGGAAATTGAAGAAAAGAGTCTAGAAGAAGAGGAAGAGAATAACAACAACAAAATCATTGTGGGGGTCTGGTACGAATATCAAAGGGGAAAGAAAGGAAAAGAAAAAGCAGTAGAATATGAAGAAAATAATGCTGAAGATGTAGAAACCAC